GCCCCCCACTCAGGCTTTGGGCTCTCACCCTCTCCTCCGGGGGCAGCAAGTCAGCTCTGAGGATGTGATAATAGACACATTTGTCTCGGAGCCACAGGGAGAAGGGGCCCTCGACGAAGATAGGCCGGGCTGGGTTGTGGTGGGCCAGGGCAGCCTGCTGATCAGGAGTCTGGATGCCTGGTATGGAGACACACGTGCCCAGGGAGCCCTGGCTGAGGGGCTCTACCCGAAGGCCCGCGGAGCCCACCCAGCAGGCCTGGGGAGAACCCAGCCACCCCAGGCCAGAGCCTTACCTACGATGTGGGACTCAGTGGCATCTGCCGCACCTGTGGAGTCTTTGGCAGAAGGCATCTGCAAGGAGGAGCAGGGGCGGAAGGGAGCTTGTGGGCCCAGCCCCTACGGGGGAGCCGGGGAGAGAAACGGGGAGCGGGAGGTCCCGGCAAATTCAGGGCTCCTCTCAGCCTCCTACCCGTCGAGCCAAGCCCGCCCCTCCTTCATTTCTATCCACTTTGGCAAGAGCCGCTGACGTTGAAGACGGGCACACAGAGGGGACCCTGGCGCCCGCCTACCTGCGCTAAAATCCACTCTGCCGCAGGCTGGGTGACTGTGGCTCAGCCAACGTACCTGGATGCTTCCGTTTCTCCAGATGCAAAATGGGGGTGACAGCACTTAATTCGGAAGGTCCCAAAATGCTGAGAACGGGGCCCGGCACGTACTAAGGGCTCTGTGCTTGTGACGGTTTAAAGAGAAAAACAATTTCACATGCACAGTGTGCTCCTGAGGAGACACAGGAAGCAAATCAGGGTTTGCCTCTGCAGAAAAGTGGGAGGAAAGGAAATCCCTTTTATATCTTTTTGATTTTACATACTGCCGTGATTCAAAAAACCAGATGAAATTTAATTAAAAAAACAAAACAAAACAACGCATCTTGGGGTGCCTGGGTAACTCAGTCCCACCGACCACCTGACTTGATTTCAGCTCAGGTCATGATTTCATGGTTCTTGAGTTCGAGCCCTGCTTTGGGGTCTTCCCTTCTCTCTCTGCCCCTCCCCCACTCACATGCACCTGGCCGCGTGCGCACATTCTCTCTCTCAAAAAGTAAACTTAAAAAAAAAAAAAAAAAAAAAAAAAAAAAGCATCTATTCTTTGATTGAAATGTCTGAGAGCTTACAACTATTGCAACACATATCATCCATCCTTTCAAATTAAAAAGAACAGAGGTGAATCAATAGGTATGGACATAGAACAAGCTCCCAGCCATATTCTTAAATAAAAACAGCAAAAGGCAAGGTGCAGAACACGGGTAGAATGCTGCTTCATTGGAGAAACTTTTTTTTTTTTTTTATGTTTGTTTATCTATTTTGGGAGAGACTGAGACAGTATGAGTTGGGAGGGGCAGAAAGAGAGGGAGAGAATTCCAAGCACGGCCAGCACAGATCCCTACGTGGGGCTTGAACTCACAACTGTGAGATCATGATCTAAGCCGAAACCAAGAGTCGGAGGCTTAACTGACTGAGCCACTCCAGTGCTCCAGAGAAACATTTTTAAAGCAGAAGTTTTTGGGGGAGGAGCGGGGTGAAGGGGAGGGAGGGAGACACAGTGTATGTTTTTGCTCCTGGGCCTTTTTACTGAAAAATATAATTAGTCTGGTTTTTTAATATGGATTTTTCATTTTAAATTTCACACGTGTTTCTTCTTTCTTTAGCATTTTGATTGTATATTTTTCTTTTTCTCGCACACTAAAAATCTTGGTTCCTGTCAACAGTAGCACCTTTACTTATCCATCAAAATACACAGTTTGGATATTACTGCTAACCATAACGCTGTGGGACTTAAGCTTGGGATTTCTCTACAGATTTGTGTGTTCTTAGAATAGATGCCACAGAGGATGGGCAGTTGGATGACTGACTCAGAAGAACTTTTTGTCTCAGTGGTTCTGCCATCAAGGAGATGTTTCGTCCGATCCCTTTTGTTTCTGTTTGTTGCCAGTATGGTGGTTCCCCCTCCTCCCCATTTCTTTGATTTTGTTTTAAATACTCTAAAACATCGGGGTGCCTGGGTGGTTCAGTCAGTTAAGCGTCTGACTTCCCTTCAGGTCATGATCTCACGGTTCGTGGGTTCGGGCCCCACATCGGGCTCTGGGCTGACGGCTCAGAGCCCGGAGCCTGCTTCGGATTCTGTGTCTCCCTCTCTCTCTGCCCTTCCCCCGCTCGTGCTTTGTGTCTCTCTCTCAAAAATACATAAACGTTAAAAAAAAATACACTAAAACATTTACATAGTTGAAATGTCGATCCATTTTAAACAGATGTCTCTCTTCCACTCCTGTTCTCTCTACCCCATCTCCTCTACCTGCCCAGAGATAATGATTTCTACCCATTTCAGACTTATCTTGGCATTATTTATGTGAAAATAGGCAAATCGATGTATGAACTTTTATTTCCTCTCTCTTCTCATGCTGAAGGGAGTTAACTGGACCACTGAACATACTTCAGCCTTTCACTCGTGTTTTTTTTTTTGTTTTTTTTTTTAACCAACCTGACTGAGGTGTTATGATCTATGTAGACAATTCCCTCTTGATGGAGCTTGGATCGTTCCCATTTGAGATCTAGGCAGTGTTGGTGATCATTTTACCATGTTTTCAACCCTTCTGTACGTGCTTTTCATAATTAGGGGGAGAAAAGAATAAATACAAAGGCTAGATCGGCTTGCAAATGCACAGAATCTCTTTGGAAGGAGACACAGATGTGGTCACCTCCGGGGAAGGAGAGTGGGGACTGGGGACCAGGCCGTGGGAGAACTCTTCATCCTGTGTTCTCGAGTACCACTTGGGTTCTAAAGCTTTACTTTTCAAAAGGAAGACGTAAGTTAAAGAATACCTTTCCTCTGGAATATGCTCCAGGCCAAGTCTCTGTCCTTTCTCACCCGGACACCCCATCACCCACTCTATTAACTCGGTCCTCTGCCCACCCAGCCCCACCCAGCCCCCATTCAACACCCATGTGGCCAAGCACCAGAGGATGCTTTCAAAACAGAAACTCCTTCCAGAACAGAGCTCCCACCCCATCCTTCCTCTTCTTAAAACTTCTATGTGGCTCCCTCTTCACCAACAGGTCCAAACCACGCTCTTTAA